AACTATTCAAATTTTATTTACAAATTCAATTGTTTTTGTTAAGAAACTTTTTCAAAATTTATTAAAAATTTCAGAGAAACATTTATTAGAATAGGACATTTTTATATTAATATTTTTTATGTTATTAATATTATGTTAGCAGCAGTTTTATATACAAAACTAATTTTATTTGGTGAGTTAACAAAAAAAAATTATTTCTTCGTTCAACTTTGTAAGATATTGTGCATTTTTTAGCAGCTCTTGATAATAATTGTAAACACATTTGAAAGCTCGAGTAAAAAATAGTCAACAAATAGTCCCTTTTATTGACTCCAACCCATCCAAAACATTTTTATATTTTTTCCAAACGAGTCACAAGTACTTCTTTTTTCTTACTCTTATATATATATATATATATATATATATATATATATATATATATATTTAAAATATATTCAATGATTGAATAGCAGAGGTTTTATCGGTCAATAATTGGCAAATATAAGTCGTCAACTACTTTATTAAGTTATTCGAATACGTTTCGCTTTTATTTTTAAAAGCATGATCAGTTCACTACAAATAAAAAAGATTTTAGAATATAAGTAAACAACCAACAGGGTTCATACTTACAAAAACAATTTGTAGGTTTTTTTTAGATGTTATAAAAACTCTACCATAACTTATCATTACAGATTAAAAACTAAACGAGAGAAACGAAACAAAAAAATACAAGAAAAACTGTAAGAACACTATTGTTCATTTAATTTTAACCGATGGCTTCATTTGAATGTTGGTTTAAGCTCTTTCGAGGCCCAAACCACACTAATCTTTCCGATTGTTTTCTGTCAGCTCTAGGATGTCATAATTTTCATATGTGGTTTATTGTCGTCTACATGTGATACTGAACAAACCACAAAATATGCTTCGCTCCCGTACTTCCCACAAATCACTAACAAGCTTAACAAACATTTAAAAAACTTACCTGTCAAAATAGCCTTAAAAAATACCAGAACCTTAGGAAAGTTATTTTCGAAGACAAAAACTCCATTGGCCCCTCTAGAACAAACTAATGTCGTGTATCATGTACCCTGTGTAGAGTGCAACTATTGTTATATTGGCCATACCAGCCGCTCTCTTCAAGGTCGATTAACGTCCCACAAAAGCGACATTAGAATTTCTAAACCATCTTGTGCCCTTGCACAACATGCCATTTGAACTAAACACAGTATCGACTTCACGAATACCAAAATACTGTGCCAACAAAAAAATTATCACTAGATATATAGTTTATCGACATCGATAGTTTACGCCAATTCCTACCAATAAGAGAATCGCGTATGCAAGAAAGAAGGTCAAGTAGATCTCAAGAAAACTACGGACACAGAGAAACTCAAAAATTCAGAGACAAAGGACAAAATTTTAGAAGGGACTATACAAAACGAGAATTTATTCCGAAAAGGGAAAATGAAAGTAGACAAAACGGAAGAGAAAATTATGAACTCATAAATCGGCAATGGAATAAGGACATAAATCGAGTAAATCAGAACAGAAATAACAACCGCACATATAAAGAAAACAGAAATAATAATAGACGAAATGAACAGGAGTATCGCGGAAACCGATACATGGCTGACAGACCTAAAGAAAATAGAAGACATAAATAATACCCAAAGTGAAGAATATGAAGATGAGAGACAAAGCGACGGGAGATAAAGCTCAGAAGAACAACAGGCGTGTTTTCACGAAGGCGCTCACTAAAAACAAAAAAACAAACAGGAATTTTTTGTCACCCGAAGGAGTTTAATAAATTGTCAGAAAACAATGAGAAAAGAAGTGAAGGTAACTTAAAATTTGTGGATGGTTCTATCAAATATAATTAAAATTATGATAGACGGTTCGGAAATAACATTGGTCAACAGAAAATTAATAGAAGTTAGTTTGATAAATTTAATTTACAAAATACCTAGGGTACATTTGGTGGCCCCAAATAAATGGATATTGGCAATGATAAATGAAGGCATACGAGTATGGTACGAATGGGTAAGATATTTTATGCATTACAATGTGTAATAATGCCAAACATGGCACATGACATGATTGTAGGAGTTGACGAATTGGCAGAAACACATGTAGTGATACATTTCAAAAATAATACGATGAAACCAACACAAGAAAAAGGAGAAGAATAGGACAAGTGGGAAAAGGATAAAGAACATGAGCAACGGAGAAGTAACGATTCGGATAAAGAACAAACAGTGGAAATGAATTTGGCAACGAATCAAGGGCAAAGGAGAAAAAGGAGAAAATGTCAGAAAAAGGTAAAATTAGTTAAAACCTGGTATTTTTTAAAAGAAGAAATGTGCCCAGAAGAAGAAGAGGAGAGGTATATGAAAACGAGGATGCAGAATGCACGATAAACATGTGTAAAGAATCTGAGGAAACAGACAGAAAATTGATATGTGGATAAGGAAAAGAAAATGAGTTGCGTTTGATGTTAAGAGACTATGAAACTTTAATAAATAAGGAAAACAGAGAGGCTAAAAAGTACGAACATTCATTTGAGGTAAAAATCTTTTCGATTGAAGACTTACCCGATTCCAAATAAGTATCGACAAGAGGTGAAAGAAGAAATTATAAAAAATGTTAGAAGATCAAATCATCGAAATGTGTGACTCACCGTATATTAACCTAATTGTGATAGTAAAGAAAAGCATGTTTAGATGCCAGAAATATCAACCAACATATTGTATCACAATATGAATCACCTCTAAACATCTAGGCCATTACTAGAAGAATTATCGTAGGATCGTAATAGAAAACGAAAACCAGTGACTTTTCAAAGGGGTGAAAGGGTACTTGTGAGGTCATTACGAATATCAAATCTTCCTGGTGGTATTTGCGTAAAGTTAATGTCTGTTTTTCGAGGGTCCGTACATCTGAATAATGAAGATGGAATAAATAGCTATGTGCTGAGGTGAAAAGATCCGAGGAATTTACAATATAAACGATATATACAAATATTACGAATAAAAGACGGAATGGCATAAAGTAGATAGTAAGTTAGGGTATAAGACGTAGGGTAAGGAAAAGAAATATACAGGGAAATTGATTTGCATTAAGAAAAATCATCTGCATATAAATTTTATGGAATGCAAAGGTGGGGATTTTATTATGTTCCTATTTGAAATCAAAAATAAAATAAAAATTGCATCTTCATAGACCACAGTCATGTGAATTTTCAATGCCCTGTCTATGACAAAATTTATAAAAATAATTATAGCTAGTTTTAAGAAAGTGTTTTCGCCGAAATATGAATGTTTGGTAAGGCGTCACAACAATAAGAGATTATTCGGATAACCATTTATAGGGTGGAAAATCCAGTATCCCTTATATATTTCAAAGAGCGATTATTGTATAAAGTAGATAACTTTTAAAATACAAGTAAATACAAGTAAAAACTTGTATTAGTTTCTTAAAAATAGATATCACAATTTTTGGAAAGTGTAGAACTAAGTTGTGGTTATAAAGGTATAAGGAATTTTATTTATTCTTGGAAGCAAAAACGAAAGTTTGAGAATTTCTTCAGAATTACAAAAGAGGTTGAATTTGGTAAATTATATGGTATGGTTGAAAGTTTTTTTTTGATTGGATGAAAAATAATGATGGAAGTGGAGAACAAGCCGATGTCTGGAATGAATGAGTAGATGTTGATAGTTGTGTTTGTTCGATCGAAAGGAGAATTCTAATTTTGAAGACCGTGTGTTGGAAAAATACCGCAGGTTGTGTTAAAAGTTACAAGTGTTATTAGCAGACAGAACGGGTGATAGACCAAGCAGAGGTTCTTTTGAAAACTCCTTGGAGTCTGATGTGTTCAGTTGTGTAAGTAACGAGAAAAAGTTTGTTTGAATTTGTGGCACCGAGTCGATAAAAGAGATTCTTGGGTCATAAAAAGTACAAGTGATTCAAAAAAAGAAAAGGTGGAGAATTGCATCAGGACAAGATAGGAACGAGCACTGTGGGAAGTAGTGAACAATGAGAGCAGAATTTGCAGAGTAGCAGAAACACATTGTTGAGGAACGTGGACGAGTTCTTTTGGTTACAACACAATCAAGGAAGGAAACATTTTACGTGTGCAGACATTGTCGATTTATCAGCAAAGGTCAGTCGTTTTCTTTTGTGACATGGATGTATGAGTTTTTCGTATTAAATACCATATTGCATATTAACTTTCACAACATTTCATTATTATAAAATTATCCAAATTCAATCAGATTTGTTTGTTATAAATAGTTAAAGTTGGTTTTGTTACAAAGGAGACAATAAGAACTAAGATTCTCTATTCGTGTTTTTAGTATGATATAAATATACTAGGATAAAGAAAAAATATTTAATCTTTTAATTCTTTTTGATAAAATAAGTTCTTCTTCTTTATGTGCCGTCTTCTACCGAAGGTTGGCGACCATCATACGATAGGTTTCTCTGTTTTGTGCCGCATGAATTATGTTCGCAGCTTCTGGTATTTGAAACCATTCTCTCAAGTTTCTCAGCCAGGATTTCTTCTTTCTGCCCAAGCCTCTTCTACCTTCAATCTTGCCTTCCACGATAAGCTGTAGCAGACTGTACTTATCATTACGGAATACATGGCCCAGGTATGACGCTTTCCTCCTTTTAACAGTTGTTAACAATTCCACCTCTTTACCCATATAAAATAAGTGCTATTGGTAATTTCTATTGAATTTATGTGTGTATTTTTTCCCGTGTCTATACCGATAAGGAAACTACTAAAAAATACTAGAAGCCACGAATGAAGGTCATTTATATAAAAATTGAGCCCTGAGATTTGTTTTTTGTTTTGATTTGCTTCAAGTAGTTGGCTCCCATCAACACCAACAGGTTAAAAGCAGATCATAACAATATATATATATATATATATATATATATATATATATATATATATATATATATATATATATATATATGTAGATGTAGGTGAAACGTATAATGTAATTATTTATTTTTAGTGGAGTAAAATTCATTCTGGCAAGTTCGCCATTTTGGAGCACCAAATGGATCCCAGTAGTAACTTCAGTAGTTACAGGAGTACCCTAAAGGCAGCGATGTGGAGGAGCGAAGGAGCTACAGATCAGAGACAGAGAATCGTTATTCCTTTCTTCAGTTTATTAGTTAAGGATCTTTATTTTCTCAACCAAGGATGTTCAAACAGGTAGGTAAAAATTTACTGATACTGAAATTAACATAAAAATACCCAAAACAAAATACGGGAAAATTGTTTACTATCAATGTAATTACGAAAAAGCTTGAAGGTTTTAACAAGATTTTGATTAAAAGATATATTTTTGTTGCAAATCTACGCAACCGAGATCTCGTTGGGTTTCAATTTATATTCTGAAGAGTAGTTCAGTATTTTGTGTGAATTCTGCAGATAAACGTTTTAAATACTGCCTATTTAACGTTAGTATAAGGTTGAATGCTCGAATAAATGAACTTTAATAAAATTAAAGACAGATATATAACAAAATCAATGCTTTAGAAAGCGAAAATACTTCAGCAATATTTGATTAATAAATTGTGCTCGATATCTGCCTTTAATTTTATCAAAGTTTATTTAATTAATTAATTAATAATGTTAATTAAATTGGAATGAAATATTGTTGGTAGTTTATTTTACCTAATTGATAGATGAATAAAAGCATTATTATTGGTTCTGGAAACAAAAACTTACGTAAAATACTTATTAGATATTGTTGATCATATCTTTTCCAACACCCATTTTAATATTATTACGCTATTAGTATAGAAATATTTTGTAAACCTCAAATATTAACATTTATATACATTTTTTTTGTTTGTCCCACCGTTTGATAGAAAAATAATTCGCAGTCAATTGTAGTAGCGTGAGAAAGTTATTGTTCATTCGTACACATAAACAAAATGCCATACAGAGATGAACCCAAATCTGAGTTCATCCCAATTTATAATCTTTTTAGCTGCACCAATATTTTCCACTCAGCAAAAAACGCGGGGTTCTTTTTTATACAATGCAGTACAATGCTTGTGTATCGTATTTATAGTTATGAATACAAAGTCTTCTACAACAGATTGCAATAAGTTTTAATATAATATAAAATAAAAAAAATTAAGCTAATGTGAAATACCTCATTAATTGTAATGGATCCTTTCTATTGCATATTTTTATCATTATCATAAACGCATATTTTAACTAGTATGCGTTTTATAATAATTGAGCGAAGATGCAGGTGTGTTTGTCCTTACACCTTGTCCTGATGGCTTTGTTTCACGCACCAGTCATAGGTCGCTAGTTTTTTCCCTTGGGGGATAAGGTTTTTCCTTAGGGAAATAGGTTCACTTTATATACTTATTTGAAGGACCACCCAGAAAACTGGGACAAATGAAAGACTCGAAAAGAACGTTTTAACAAGTCTATTTAAACAATTACAACGTATTTTGGACGCCGATAACTTGCATACGATACACACTTGTCGGTGATACAATATTAACCCGAACTAAGTAAACTTATTAATATCACGACGGTGTTAAAGCTTCATAGGTGCGGCTCATGGTATAAAGAATAACAGGTATGATACTCCCGAGAGAGAAATTGAGACGAGTTCGCGCATGACGTCACAATGAGAGAGATTTTAAATATTTCCCGTAAGAACGTTAGCAATCAGAACACAATTAATTTTTAATTGGCAATAAAAATCATTTTAATGGATTAATAGAGTTTGTATTGAACTATTCCGGATTTATTAAAATATAGGTGTTTTATTGTTTTGATTGAAAAAAATAATAATACAGTGACAAAAAAATAAATCTGTAAAATAAATTTAGGAGTTTTTTTGTGTTTTTTGCTTTTTAATCCTAGAAAGGTGATCTTTATATATTTTACGAGCTAGCTTTTGATTGAATTGTCTTATTTGGCGCCAGTATCGAGGAGGAAAAAAGTCTTTGTCTAAACGTAAACAGAAGAAAATAATTTATCATAAATTATCTGCACTAAAATCGAAAAACAAATTAAACACAAGGTTTAAAGTTACAATTTTTATTAATTTTCTTTTATTTCTTATATCTTCTTTAAGTTTTAGGTTTAATTTCCTAATTCTAAAATACATTCGAGACCGGAAGAAAAGATGTTTGATTTTATAATCACATTGAATGTTCTCCGATAAGTCAATTAGTTGTTGTATATAATTTTTGCCTGATTTTAATTGATGTTCAGATCCAATGAAATTATTAAAAATAATATTTAGTTCATTAATTTTTGCCACCAATTCTTCTTGAGGTTTCCTTAGACCGCCTTCGGATACTTGATCAATCCACGTGTAAGTGGAAGTATCCGTAGTTTCAGGCAGATCTAATTTCTTACATATATACCCACTGACATATTCCAGTGCATCATAATGAAGTTGGTCTAGTTCTTCCATGTCTGCATCCACTTCTTCTTTTTCTGCTTCGCAGGATAAGTTTAAAAAATATGTTTCACTTAACAAAACTTCTCCCAAGTTATCAATTGGTCCATCAATGACCTTATCAGCTTCTGTATTGCCAGCTTCAGATAAAGAACCTTCATTTCTCCCTAAAATATAGTTTTTTAACCGGTAGCGAAATTCCACAGCATCGGGATGGTCATGTAATCCACCAACCCTCCTAATATTGCCAAAAAAATTTTCGAGTACATCTTGATTTAAGTTGTATGTAAGGATGTATTTTATATTAAATTTAGTTTTTATATCCTTAAATAAATTTTTTAAGGAATTGTTGGTTTTAATTATTCCTAAAAATAACAACGGAATTAAATTTTGCCAAAAAGACGATAATATTTATATTAATTATTAGCTCCAAAGAATACTTTTAATTAGAATATTTCAAAAGCAACATAACGTACCTTTCTGAAAAGGCAACAATGATCGTTTTCCTTTCACTTTTAAAGCTTTCATAGCTTCTGACATCTCGTCATTAATGTTATTTTGAACGTCTAGATTTAACCCATAGCCTTGTACTCGTTCTCGGGAATCTGTATAGGGTACCCTAACGTTAAGGCAATCGAACCAACCATTTACCTAAAAAACAAAAAAATGTATGAACAGAAACATAACAAACTTTTAGATTTAGCTTACCAATTTAAAAAACTGAGCAGTTTCTATCCAACTTTCGTCCTGAAAGTAACCTAGTGTTCCACACCTATTAATAGCTTGAGCTGTGTTATTTGAAAATAACTTTGTTGCTAACTTTACTTTTTGCCTTTGCTCTTTACGTACATTTAGCATTTCTTCATTTACGTTAAATGAGATTGTTAAATCTGATGTAGAAGTAAGTTTTAGTAATTTATAAATAATGTTCTTATTAATTTCCGCTCCACGAAAGACAAAGCCATTATCAAGAAAATTATTTCTTATAAGTTTTATAAGGTGTGGTACATCACATAAAACATGGATTTTATGATTTGTAGGGCCTATAAACCACGGCTTTTCTTCATTTATTTCAAGATTTTTATAAAGCTCTCTGTTACCACCTCTATCTCTATCACTAACAATAGCACAAACATGAAATCCTGCCTCTTCCACTTCCTTAATTATGTCAAACAGAATTGATTTTTCCATTTTTCTGTCAAAATCAAAATAAATTGGCTGCTTCCAGGATGTCAGTAGTCCTCTCATCATTGCTACCTGAACATAGTTGGAAGGTTTTAAAAGATGGTCATTTGCTTTGTCGTATGCGTAGGTTTTTCGAATCTTCATTTCATCGAAGGAAACAACACATTTTTTTTCAGATTCGGATAAGTGAGAATTTTTTAAAATTTTTAGAACAGGTTTTATTATTCCTGGAACAATTTTGACTTTTTTAGTCCATGAACGAAGGGTTGAAACAGCAGGATATGGATAACCTTTTTTCAGCAATAATTTATATGCTTTTGGTCCAGCTGCATGTATGGCAATACCTTGGGAGACTTCCTCAGTAGTCCATACTGTTCTAACTTTGGGCCTTTGCAGTCTTTTTAGCTGTCTTTTGGTAAATATCTTATTTACTCCCGACTTCATTTCTGTTAATTCATTAACCTGCTGAAGTAAGGCTTTGTTCTCAAAACGTAACTTTTGAAGTTCAAGATCTTGTGCAGGTTCCATATCTGTATTTAATCTAAAAACAAAAATCATATTTTTAATCTACTATATATATATATATATATATATATATATATATATATATATATATATTGCATAAAGTTAAGAATATTATGTTTTCATTCAGACGACTGATCACAGCATATTTTAGAACATTTTACATACCTGTCTGATTTTATAATTTCAGGTAAATCAGTTTTGAGTCCTTGACACACCGAGTTCACACCTGATTCTCCAGCTGTAGAACTAAAAAATAAATGTTAAGATATTATTTTTATGTCATAATACTTAAAAGTGTTTCTACCAAAAGATGTAGAATAAAATAATGTTCACCTAGATTGTGTAATTATCTGTTCCACAATCCTCTTTGAATCCTTTTTGGAAAACCTTTCCTGCCTTTTAAGTTGATTTATGGATAAGCTTTTTGATTTTGGTAGATGAAGAGAAGGAATCGCATCACCCTTCAGTTTGGGTCCTTTCTTTAATTCATACTGCAGCAATTCATGCTGCAAATTTCTTTTCAAGTCTTCCGGCTTAAAGTGTCTGGAACAAATCCTTGAAGTTTTAGTATTAAATTTGTCTTTACGGTAACAAGCAATAACCCACAGTTTTTCCACTACCGAGTCCTTGGGAAAACTATAAAACCTAACAGATTTATCGGCACCTTTTGTCTGATTATCACTTAAACAACTATATACTGCACAACGCATTTTATGTTTACGTTGTAAACAATTTTTAGCAAAACCCCCCTAAAAAATACAAGATGGGTATAGGTATGGTTGAGTATTAAATACTGACTCAATAATAATTAAACATACCTAATTTACAATTTCTAAAAGACCAAATTGTTGCCATATAAAGTAGGTATACCTACAAAGCCACGATCACTCAAAAAACTCGCATAGAAAGTTGAATATATCCTTAATAATAATTATTTTTTACTAAAATGCCTACAAATCAACTTAAACTCTCACAAAAACACTATAAAATCTTCCACAAGCTTACTAAAGACGTCAAAAGTTTAAACATTGATAAAATTCAAATTATAAACAAATGTATTATA